ACCACGCCTGCCCTCCCTGTTCGAGGGTCCTGGCGGAGGACCTTGGTAAGGTCTCTGGAGCCTACACAGCCCACGTCTGATCTGATCTGTGTGTTTCTTTGTGTTTCACTGACCGTGTTGGCAACACTTTTTGCTGTGAGCAGTGTCTGGAGAGTAAGATCTTAGAAGGTCTTGCTTGAATTTCTGAGCCATATAGTGATGCAGACTCAATAGAAAAGGACATTTCCAGACCATTACACTTATAATTTTGGTTCTACAAGAGGCCCTGTTTCATAATACATTTAATAAATAACACTGCCTCCTACATAATGGCTTCAGAAGGCTATTTTCTCTACTTCAGAACAGTGATTGATATGCAAAGGTGAGATATGTTTTTATTAACCCCCCAGGGTCACCATATACCTTAGTTTTATAGGTAATAGGTGCAGTAAGGGATCCTTTTATGCTCTACCAACTATAAGGAACATAGGACACTTTTGTTCAGTATATTTTTCTTTATATGCTTTGGAAATTAAAGGATGGCTTTCACAATATATCAATTCCAGAGAAAAAGTGAATTGACCTCATGATCTTCAAAATCTCAGCTTTTCACTTGGGTCTGCTCTGATTCCAAAGACTGTTTTCTGAAGCTGGCTTTGTTTTCCAGATTTTTTTTTTTTAAATAGAACCCATCCTGATGTCAAGAAAATATTTTGAGTTCAAGAGGATTAATACATATGGAGAGAACAAGAAGGCTTTCCAGCAGGTAACACTTTGCTGTAATCAAAGTCCTTCAGCCTGACTTCAGCTCTGAATCACTGAGGCATTCAACTAGAGAACACATTCGTTAAGACACCAAGTTAAACATCACCTCCCCTGGGAAGTATTTGCCCACTCACCCAAGCACAGTTACCCTCTCTTTCCTCTGAACTTTCAAAATATGCCCAGACCTCAATTAAAACATGCATCACGTGGTATCATACGCATTTGAATACACATTTCGTCCCTCCCAAGTGGACCCCTCCCTCTAGCTAAACCCGCAGCTAAATGTGCTGTTTAACATGATGCTTCACCCATTATACTCACTCTTCAATTAATAAATAAATGAGTGGATAAATGAAATGGTACTGAGCCCACTGAGAAGGAAGCATTTAAATAGGTGGACCCCTGGGGGAGTCAGGGAGCAGGCACTGAAAATAAACTGCCTAATTTTTCTGGAGCCAGCCAGCTAGCGAGCCGGCCGGCCAGGCTGGACAATGTGCAGAACAAGTACGTGAGAGCTCTGTCATCTCCCCACAAGATGGACAAGGCAGAAGGGAATACCTGCCCTCCACAGGGTAATTGGTGCTCAAATCAAACCTGGAAATCCTATATTCACTGTCCCTTTTAGGGGGAAGCACTGCCTGTCTAGCTAGAATTTCAATAGGCGTATTCCCAACTGGCGTTATTATTGTGACCCAAATATAAATATCATGGCAGGAGCCCATGAGGTGGGAGCACAGTTTATTCTAACTGAAAATAGAGGTGGAAAGCATCAGCCTTAGTATCCTTGATACTAGAGTGGGGTTGCCATAGCAACCAGCTGAGTCACTAATGAAAAAAGAACAGTTGCACTATGACTAGGCTGACATTCTGTGACATTCTCTTCTTTTACTGTAGCTCTAATGATGTCTTCAGGAGGAATGACAAAGAGAAAGTGTCTGACCTCTCTATTAAACCTGCAGCTGCCTTGACACGCTCTGCCTTCAGCCTAATGAATGTGAATTTCTGTGTGCAAATTCTGCCGTGGAGAAAAGCACTTTAGGAATTTTTCTGATTCATGTATTAAACTTGTTGATTCTATTGTTCCTTTAATGCAATCCTGTCTTTTCCCAATTAAGATGGCAATGAAGCAGAGGAGCCTGAAAAGCAAAACAGGAAAGGAAACAAATAGTGAAAAGATGTGATGGGGGATGGTAATCCATCACTGACATGAAACCGAAGAAAACCACCAAAAGCAGTTTCTGCCCCTTCTCCAAACAGGATGGTCCATAGGCAACTGAGCAAGAAATCTAGGAACCTCTGCAAACGCAGAGGGGATCTGCTGGGTATGATCTGAGAGCTTCATGATCCATGTACTCACCGGTCACCGCAGTCAGAGCACTGAGCTCAGCACTGCGGTTGTCAGCAAAGAAGGTAGATCCTCCAGTCATTTCAAGTCTAAAGCTGAAGGAGGGGTGAAAAGGATTAGTAACTTAAAATGTAGACCACACGTGGCGCCTACCACTGCCAGGAAACATGTGCAGAAACTGGCACATTTATAATTGTAAGTTTAAAAAATTGAAGTTGATAAAATAAAAGATTGCCACAACTTTGAGCATACAAATGGAGTTTAAAAATAAAACTGATCAAGACACTGTTACTGAGTTTGTAAAACAGTGCAAATGCTTTATCATTTTTTTTTATTTTCCCAAATGTATTTGTTTGCAAACATACGAACTTGTTTTAAGCCCAACATTGGGTTGTTTTCATCTGCACAAGAAGGGCCACAAGAGCTGGTGTCAGCATTTGCTGCAAATGATGTGGGAGTTTCTGAATTTGAGTGTAGGCATCTACATCTCTTTACCAGCAGGAGAGAGCTCATTCATTATTAAAGCAGCCTTCTAGCTATCCTCCTTCGTCAGTATAATACTGCTAGACTAATTTTCTCAGTCTATGACTTGAATCATGTTATTTTCCTCTTCGAGATTTTAATATACCACTTTCACCATGTCACTCTCCTAGTTAAGAATAGATAATGGTTTCCCTGCAAAACAAACTACACCCAGTTCTGCTCCCTGATTTGAAATGCCCTCCATAGTTCAGCCCCAACACATCTATCCACACACATATGTATTCTTCCCAGCGCCATCCCTTCCTTCCTGCCCTGCTGGCTCCTACCTGACCCCGAAATGGCATTGCTAATTCTTACCTCCATCTCTACCTATGCAATCTTTTTCTCTACCTATGCAATCCTCACTCGTCCTTCGAGAAACAGCAAGGGCCACTTCCTCCCGAAAGGTCTCTGAATGGCTGTTGCTTTTGTAAACAGAGGCCCCCACTCACTGGACTACTCACCGTCTTCCTAACATGTTCTCATTTTTCCATTAACTAAATTGTTTGCCCCTTGAGAGCAGGCCTACATTGTATCTCTCGTTTCACGTACATAGTCTCCTAGTTGATGTACAGTCAGTCACACCCTAATGCATTCAGTCAATAAACACCTATGAATATTAGGCCAGGGGAGAACTAAAGGCCTGTGGGCATTGTTACGGAGCATGTTTAGACTTTGCAGTGTCAGGGGTGTAGAGAGGGGTGATCCTAGCACAGGGGTTTAGAATCAGGCAATGTAGATGTTTTGGAGTCACCTAAGGATTTTGGTATTTAATAAACCCTGCTTTGGGCAGAGCTCCAGAGTCTCGTGGAGAAGAGGGGACAGTGGGGATGGGGCCGGGGCAGGTGACATTCTTTTTTCTGACAACCAGGGCAGCTTTGCTCACCTCTATTTTATGTATTTAGATTTCTTAGGCTTTGGGCTAAGTTTTCTTTTGAAGTAAGGGCTCTTTATCACTGAACATTTGGAAACCTGTTTTCTGGGTATAGGAGAGCCTTTAGTGCTTGTAAGTGGGGAGGGACAAGCAGGTGCAAACTCTGAGTTGAGGCTGAAGCCACACCAGAAATCAGCATGTTGCTTAGCCCTTCAGAGGCTTTTGCACCAGCAGCAGTAGACGTCTTTGACAGGTGTTCTTTCACTGTTTGTTTGCTATTAAGAGACAGAAGGTAAAGATGGTTGAATTATCCCCTTAATACTGAGAGGGTTTGGGGAGTATTTTGGCGTTATATTTTGCCTTCATTTGCCAAGCAATAAGGTGCTTCCTTCTTTATTCTTTCTGTGCATATTTCTTTTGTTTTCATGGGGGATATCTTTCTTGGATCATCACACAAGGGAGTATTGTAAAGGACCGGTAAAAGACAACTAAAAGTGAATCTCTATCAACATGTATAATAACTAAATCTATACTTATATAGAATATTATTAACAAAAGCCAAGCAGAAGGGGCAGTGGCAGTTGTGTGGAAAGGGAATAATATATATATGAGACCTTAGCACAGAATCGGCCTTTTCTCCATGTCAGAGCCAAAAATAGAAGCCTGTGCTGGTATAAAGCTGCGGCTACCCTCTGTACAGACCATGCCTCCTCTGGATAGCTGCCACTCCAGACACAAACCTAGGGCCGCCACCCTCTTGGTTGTCGTTACACATTTTGAGATAATGAGTGGAAGAAACCTCCTGAGGGTTTCCTGGTGCCAAACCAATAGGAACAAACTTTATTTTATAGAACACCTCCACAGGGAAACAGACATTTAAAAAAAAACATTCCTAACACTGCCGCTCCTGAAACAGATGCAGCAAGAGACCTGTCACTCACAGATCTGCTTCTGCCATAGAAATGTCACATTTGTGGCAATCAGGGAGAAGTCTCATGTCAGAGTGGGAAGTCTTCATGCCTGAAAGTCAAATTGTGCTATGTTTGAATTCTGGCTCAGCCACTTGAAGACAAGGAACAAAAAATAGGGATAATTATTTTGCTCCCTGACTTGCGCAAAGAAAGGAAAGTCCACTGGGAAACCGACTGAACACCACACCTCTGAGACCTAGAGGCCAATCCCATCCTGCTGTCCTTGTAAGCCACTTCTCTGTGCGCTTATCACCCCGTTTCCAACAGCACTGTGATCGAGAACTACAAGTTTATGAATTTGTCTGACTACCTCACAAGACTGTGAAATCCTTAAGGTCCTTGGAAAAGTGCTTGTGTCTGGTTCACCACTGAATGTCATGTGCTGAACAGATGTCCTGGTCTTCTCTTCCCCAGCCCCCTCCAACTATAGATGACTTGGGCAACAAAACAAGGCTTGCATGGGTAGCTTGGCTGAAAATAGAGCTTACTTGCTGCTAATCTCTGCACTTTGGACCAGCTTACTGTTTCCTCCAGCATGTGTGAGCCAGGAGAACAGCTGTGAGCCTGTCAGCGCTGAGGGGAGCTCTGTATTTGTCTATCAAGTGTCTGCAGTCCTGGGGGGTATGGCTCACAGCTCCATGCAGAGCCTGGTGGGAGTTGGTGAGACAGCAGGAGGAAAGGTTAAATGAATAACAAGTGTATTCGGAACAAAATAGAAATAAACTAGACAGGAAATTGAGTGGTGACAGGAACAGGTTACCTGATGACTAACTGGGGAGAAGGACAAAAGCTGTGATACTGAAGGACAAGGAGGAGCAACACATGATGGAGGTAACCGCGGTGGTTGCTGAGTCTACCCCATAAGGTGATTTTTTTTTCTTTTTACTTTTTATGGTTTATGCCCTTGAACTGTGCACTGGGTGTGATTACTCAGATAGGTAAGGGCCAGATGGTTTTCTACCATATCTCTACAGGAGGCCCCACAAGGACAGAAATTTGAATTGTAAGGCAATTTCTGTTACCTTACAACTGAATTTTCGTGATTTGTCTTTTTATGCTTTATACAAAATGGCAGCACAGATCATAAATTTAAATGTGCCATCTGATGAATGTTGACAAATGCACATACCCATGTATCCTGCACTACAAACAAGATGGAAAATATTAACGTCAACTTAGAGAGTCCCCTTGTGCCCCAGACAATCCCAGCCACCCCCCCTTAAGAAAGCACTTTTATATTTTCATCATGAGAGATTACTTTAGCCTGTTCCAGTGTGTCATATAAATGGAATCATATAGCATATATTCTTTGTTTCTGGCCTCTTTTGTTCAGCATGATGCTTTTAGATTTTTTCATAATATATGCATTAGTATTTCCTGAAATACTAATACATTATGTTTTATTGTTGAATAGCATTTTATTGCAAATATACAAAATTTGTTATCCAAACCCTCATGTATTTGCTCATTTTCTAATTGTATTAACTGGTTTTGTCCCACTGGATTTTGTTAGTTCTTCATATATTCAGGAGACTAGTCCTATATTGACTATGTGGTCTGAAAATATTTTTCTCCCATTACATAGCTTATCTTTGCATCTTTTTAACAAGGGCTATCATATAGCAATAGTTTTTATTTTGATGAGGTCCAATGTATCACTATTTCCTGCTATGGATTGTGTATTTTGTGTCATGTCTAAAAATCTTTGCCTACCCCAAAATTCCTAAAATTTTCTCCTGTCTTTTTTTCCTAAAAGGTTTGTAATTTTACATGTATGTCCATGATCCATTTTTGGTTAATTTTTGTATGAGATATAAACTTTAAGTCAAGATTTATCTTTTTTGCCTATAGATGTTCAATGGCTCCAGCATTGTTTTTTTGAAAAAGGCTATAATTTATCTATTAAATTATTTTTGCACCTTTGTCAGAAACTAGGTCGGCATATTTCTGTGGGTCCATTGCTGGGTTCTTTCTTATGCTCTATTGATGTATATACCCTCCCTTTCTCTGTGCTTTTCCAAATAAATGGTTGAATTAGCTTGTCTATTAAGTAAGTAAATGCATACATGCATACATACATGCATATATAAATACATAATAAATAACCAATCTTGCTAAGGTTTTGGCTGAAATTGCATTAAACTAGAGATCACTTTTAGGAGAATTGTAATCTTTAGTCTACTGAGCTTTCCAATCTCTCTATTTATTTAGATCTTTTTTGATTTCTTTCATCTACATTTTGTAATTTTTAGTGTACAGATCCAGTACTGATTTTGGTAACTGTATACTTAAGCATTTTATTTTTTGGAATAATTATAATGGTACTGTGTTTTTAATTTAAGTTTCATGTGTTATTGTTAGCATATAAATATGTGATTCATTCTTGTGTATTGATCTTGTATACTGTAACCTTGCTGAACTCACTTAGTTCTAGGAGGGTTTGTGTGTATATTTTTGTGTGTGGATTTCTTGGGATTTTTTAGATAGACATCATGTCATCTGCAAGCAGAAACAGTTTTATAATGTTCCTTTCCGATTTGTATGTTTTTATTTCTTTTTTTCAACTTATTGCCATAGCTAGATATTCTAGTACTACGTTGAATAAGAGTGGTGTGAGTGAACATCCTAACCTTGGTACTGACCTCAGGGGAAATGTTCTTCATAATTCAGTTCTTCACAATTAAGCATGATGTTAGCTGTAGGATTTCTATAGATGCTGCTTACTAAGGTGCAGCAGTACCTTACCTTACTGAAAGATGTTATAATCAATGTTAGATTTTGTTAAATGCTGTTTCTGTGTCAATTGATAAAAACCATATAATTTTTCTTGGTTTATATCAACCTTATTGATATGATGGATTACTTTGATTGATTTTGAAATGATGAACCAGCTCTTGCATACTGAGAATAAATCTACTTGGTCATGATGTATAATTCTTTTAAATAATTTTTAGTTTTGATTTAAGAACTGTATTTTTTCTCATCTAAAGACATGAGAGATACCGGTCTGTAGTTTTCTTTTGTGTTCAGTATTTGTCTGGTTTTCATATCGTGGTAATACTGGTCAGATAAAATAAGTTGAAAAGTATTCCTTCTTCAAATTTTCTGAAATTGTTGTGTAAGATTGGTGTTAATTCTTCTTTAAGTGTTTGGTGGTGTTCTCCAGTTAAACCGTCTGGGCCTGGAGATGTATTTCTATTCAAAAACTATAATGAAACAAATACAATGAAATGTGTTGGGGAAAAGGGTAAAACCTTTTATGTAGATACAAAATGTTCATTAATAAATAAATAAATGGGAAACAGTTTAAAAATAGTTTATTTGAAAGCAGAACAAAGAACTTAGTTACTGTGACCTAAAGAGCTATGATAATTTTAATGTAAATACCAGAGCCAGGGGCAAGAATTAAAGACCCTGCATGCTCTGTTGCAGCCTTTCTCAAATTTTAATATGTATGCAGATTACCTGGGTATCTTGTCAAACTGAAGATTCTGATTTAGAAGGCCTGGAGTAGGGCTTGGGAGTCTGTAGCCCAGAAATCCCCAGGTGGTGCTGGTTCGGTTGGTGAGTGGACCACACTGTGAAGCCCTATGGTACAGGTCTCTTCTAGGATGAGATATTCATTTAGGAGCAAGCAGCACATCTTAAGAAAATCATTGAGATAATTTTGTTCAGAGAAGATAAAGCAGGATAGAAATTAAAACTTAGTTCCATGAGTAATAGTAGAAAGGTTAACTCTTAATTGATGAAGAACTCTTTCAAATTGATAATATAAACCAGCCAAAGACAACAAGCAAACAATTTAAGAACAAATCACACAGGACCAAATGCAGATAACCAATTGACATTTATACAGGTGTTTGCCTTTAGCAGTGATCATGGCATGGAAATTAAAATGAGAATTTTTTTTCAGCTCATGGACAGGCAAAATTTTAAAAGCTTGATAAAATCCAATGGGAAAATAGGCATTGTCATAACTTGTTGGTGAAATGTGAATTGGCAAATCTTTTCTCAAAGTAATCCAGCATTAGCTATTAAAATAAACGTGCACATATACTTTGACTCAGTAATTCCACATGGAGGAAGTCTTTGCTGATTAAATAAACCTAGCTCATAAAGATGTTTATTGCAACATCTTTGAGAAAAGCTCTTGGAGATGACCTAGATGTTCATCAACTAGTGATGGACTAAATTGTACTGTATGCAATGTGACAGAGAACATAATATAAATTCTTGTCTTCCAAGGGTCAAATGATAAAAATAGGAAGCTTCTTGCACTAGAATGTTCGATCAGAGGCCACCGGAAATACTGCTTAGAGAATTCTTCTAGATGCAAGACATAGTCTGCATGATTTTCAAGTTTCCTTCTGACTCTAAAATGCTGCAGTTCTATAAACTGGGCATAGTGACAAGAAAGAAGGGAGGGAGGGAGGGAGGAAGAAAAGGAAGAGAGGTAAGTTTTCTACCCTATACTTAGCTGCTTTCCTCATTTTAGAATTGGGACTTTGGGGCCAGGTTTAAGGGCTGGGATATTTTAATTAGCATGTATAGAGGCCATAGACTAACCCTATTTCATTTAGAGATATTAAAAAAATGAGGAAAACTGGTTACTGGTTTCTCTTTCCCTAACTGTTGAAATGAAATCCGTATTCAGGAATGCCTCCTTCATATTCATAGTCACTAACGGAAAGTGACTAATTTGTGACTGGGCAGGGACACAGAGTCAGACATCTGAGCATATGGATAAGTGACTCCCCGTGTGTCTAAGACCAGCGGAGCCTGACGCCTGCTGCTTCGCCCGGAGCATGGGCCAGCATAAATGCACTCCCTCCGGGAGGGGGGCCGCGTCTCATTATGCACTGGGGTGGGAGTGAGGGCTTCACTTCCCTCCTTCCTGGTTTGCAAATTGTGAACTTCCTCAGAGGTGTTTCTGGGGCCCAGCAAGCATTTGTTACAGTGTTTACAATGTGTTTTAATAATTATTTTTAAACAATTTAGTTATTTTAAAATAGTTATTTTGAAAACTAATTAAAAACTCATCAGAAAACACATTCATATGTGATATATGCCAAATTTTAACACACTGGAAAACACCAAAATATTAATGCACCTTCTGATTGATTGTCTGTTTAGTAAGTAAATATGAATGTCAGTGCTTAAATTAAATTTGTATAAAAAGTACTGTTTTGGCCCTTGTTGGTGTGGCTCAGTGGATCGAGTGCCAGCCTGCGAACCGAAAAGTTTGCCCATTGGATTCCCAGTCAGGGCACATGCCTGGGTTGAGGGCCAGGTCCCTGGTTGTGGGCCTGCAAGAGGCAACCAAATGATGTTTCTCTTGTACATTGCTGTTTCTCTCCCTCTCTCCCTCCCTTCCCCTCTCTCTAAAAATAAATAAATAAAATATTTTAAAAAATAAATACAATAAAATAATTATAATTTTAAAAAGTACTGTTTTGCTTGCTTTATGACTCAATGTAATATTTTCTTTGTAAAACAGAAAATTATATGGCTAAAATTTTTGATAACCACTGCCCCAAATCACAAGTTAGGGATGACAAAAAAGTAAAGGTAAAATGAGTATAGCCTGAGAAATTTCTATTGGAATTATTAATTCATATATATCTCAAATATCTAAATGGTTCTTACCTCCTTCAGAATATCCCACCTTAACAAAAAAGGCTATTTATTCCACTTGAGGACATTTAAACTTATTTTGTTTCTTTCCACCATCTGTGATAATGTCCTTCCCTCATTCTTATGTTTTTACTGTCATTTTGGGGGAGAGGGAGTTGCTACAAGGAGTTGGTTCTAGTTGAGGTGAATGTTGATGGGAAGGGTTAATGTGAAGACTTGCAGGACAGTTTTTGTTCAAAGGGTGGGGTTTCCCAAAATACTCAGTTCTTTTCCTATTGCAATCATTTTGAGAAGTAAAATGAACTAGGAATCTTTCCAGTACAGGATCTGGCATTTGAGCACCTAGATTCAAATTCTAGGTTCACCACCTTTAAGGTGAAGCCTTAGCATAGGCACATTTTGTAATTGCTGTCTCAGTTTCCCTTCCTGGTAGATGGGGTTAGTAATAGCATTGACACAGTAGGGTTCTCATAAAGACTGAAGGAGACCATATATATAAAGTGCTTAGCACAGTTTCTAGCACATGATAAGCATTTCACAAATGTTAATGTTATTGTTTTTATTTGCACACAATTTTTGCCCAAATTTACTATGAAAGCTATGGGAACCAAACAGAAAAATAAAGAGGAAGACTAAGTCCTTTAGAAGGTAACTGTATTTGGAAATACCATCTCTAAAGAGCTACTTACATTTAAAGGGGGCTGTAGGGTTGGCCCTAATCCAATATGAGAAGAGGTCAGTGCACAGGACCAACGGTCAACCACAGAAAGACACAGCAAGAAGGTGGCCATCTGCAAGCCAAGGAGAGAAGCCCAGAATGAAATCAATCCTACTGACCTTGATCTTGGATATCTAGCCTCAAGAACTGTGTGAGAAAATTAATTTCTGTTGTTCAGGCTAGCCAGTGCGAAGTATTTTATTACAGTAGTCCTAACACACTAATGCTATGTGCTGCAGAAGCAGCAATTATTTTATACTGGATTATATTCCAGTGTCCATTATACTCCATTCTATCCAACTGAACCTCATGTCCTGATTTACTATTTATCTTATATATTATCTCAACCCTCAAACCCTAATCTGTCCCCATTCTCACTGTCCCAGATTAGATCTTTATCATGTCTTTTTAAAAAAGATTTTATTTGTTTATTTTTAAAGAGAGGGGGAGGGAGGGAGAAAGAGAGAGGTGAAACATCCATACGTCAGAGGCACATCAATCAGTTGTGTCTCCCACGCCCCCATCCAGGCATAGGAGAATCGGTGACCTTTCAGTTAGCAGCCCTGCACTCAATCCACTGAACCACACCAGCCAGAGCTTATCATGCCTCATTTGTAATGGTCCCAATTGATTTCCTTACCTTCAGTTTCTCTACTTCCAGTTTATCCTCTCCACCAACACAGAATAATCCCTATGACTCCACTGCTTAAGACTCTAATTAACTTCCTATAACCTAGAATAATGTCCAAATTCCAGTGTGTGAACTACAAGTTGCCTCTCCTCCTTCCAACCTGCCCACTTCCTACCTCAGATCTCATCTACTAAAAATACTCAGAGCCCTTGTTTTAATATCATAGAAAGCAATGTTGTGATGGGGTGGCTTGGAGGTTGGAATTATAGAAATGCAAAATGTATATAAAATGAAAGAATTACCACAATCAATCAGGTCTGTGATGAACTCTACCCAGCATTCTCTTTCTGGTAGAGGAACAAGGGGTTAAGATGTAGGAGGTGTGAGTTTTGTAGTCAATTAATATTTGACAGAAGAAGCAAGCACATACAATGAGCTAAAGATAGTTTATTTAATAAATGGTGTTGGAAAAATAGAACAGATATGTGCAGAAAAATAGACCACCTTCTTATACCACACACAAGAACAAATTCAAAATGAGTCAAAGACTTAAATGTTAGACCCAAAACCATAAAAATCCTAGAAGAAAACATAGGTAGCAAAATCTCAGACATTGCTCATAGCAATTTTTTATCAGATGTATCTCCCCAACAAGGGAAACAAAAGAAAAATAAACAAATGGGACTACATCAAACTAAAAAGAGTTAGCACAGCAAGGGAAATCATCAACAAAATAAGAAGACAGTCCACAAAATGACAGAACATATTAGCCAATCCATCTGATAAGGGGTTAATATCCAAAATTTATAAAGTATTTACAAAACTCCAACAAAAAAAAAAACCCAATTAAAAAACAGGCAAAGGACCTGAATAGACACTTCTCCAAAGAGGACATACAAATGGCCAATGGACATATGAAAAGATGCTCAACATCACTAATCATCAGAATAATGAAAACTAAAACCACAATGAGATATCACCTCACACCTGTCAGAATGGCTACCATCAATAAATCAACAAACAGCAAGAGCTGGCAAGGATGTGGAGAAAGGGAAACCCTTTTATACTGTTGGTGGGGATGCAGATTGGTGCAGCCACTGTGGAAAACAGTATGGAGATACCTCAAAAAATTAAAAATGTATCTGCTTTTTGACCCAGCAGTCCTACTCTTGGAAATATATCCAAAGGAACCCAAAACACTAATTTGAAAGAACATAAGCACCCCTACGTTCATTGCAGCATCATTTACAATTACCAAGGTATGGAAGCAGCCCAAGTGCCCATCAATATATAAGGGGATAAAACAACTATGGGATATTTACACAATGGAATACTTGTAGGCCATAAAAAAGAAGAAAATTTTACCCTTCGTGACAGTATGGATGGACCTGGAGAACATTATGCCAAGTGAAATAGGCCAGTGAGAGAAAGCCAATAATTACCATATAATTTCACTCCTATGTGGAAGCTAATGAACAACCTGAACTAACAAGAAAAATGGAAACAGACTCATAGACGGAGAGCAGATGACAGCTAGTGGGGGTGGGGGGATGTTTGCGGAGGGAGTGATTGAACAAAGGCAAAAAGGTCTCATGGACAACAGTGTGGTGATTGCTGGGGGAAGGCATATGAGAGGACTAAAAGGTAATGTAAAAAAATAGAATAAATATTAAATTTTTAAAAAGAGATAGAAGAACATTCAGAGAGTGGCCTGTTCATCTAAGTGTCTCATAAAAATCTACCCAAAGGACTAGAAACCACCTAGAAATCTGCACACATGTTTAAAATCCTTTGGTTTTCTAATATTTTAAAGTCATAAATAATAGCCAAGCCCTATTTCTTGAAAAAGTATAGGAAAATGAAGGACAGAAGGGTTTCTCATCTTTAGCATCCAAGGACCGTATCACTAGTAATTTCCTTTGGTGTGAAATAAACAACTATCTTGGGTGGGGTAGAGGTTATTATTGTAATACTTTAGCAATAATTAAGTGTCTTTTTAAAAATTAAAAAAAAGTAGCTAACATATCAAAAAACTCTATGTCCCAGGTACTACTTTAGGCACTTTACATAAAGTATTTCATTTATTCTCATTAGCTCCCTATAATGTAGATACTTTTATTATCCCATTTTACAGATGAGGAAATTGAGGCTCTACAAAATTGATTATCTTGCCCAAAGTTACAAAGATACCAGGTGATGGTACCACTAGCTCTTTGAGAGCCAGTAAGAAGACAGGTCAGTAACTTCCTGAGAATTGCCTTTTGTTTTTCCCTGTGTCTAGAAATAAGTTTTTATATCTGATTTTAAACTTCTTTTTGTTTAAATTTTTTTAATGTCCCAGAAAAGAATTTAAATTTATTAATGATTTGGAATTATCAAGAAGGATTATAGTATCAAAAAATACTATAATATAAATAAGTCAAAATATGCTTTGATTAAACAAAAATGTATACACAGGTAGAAGAGGACGCCACCTCTCCTAGCCTAGAAGTTCAGTATTGTATGAAAGCAAATTAGAGATGAGCTCTTGCTGCAGTAAAGTGTGGTGAGGAAGGCAGCACACCTGTGTCAGTTAGGAATCTATTAACCAACTTGGCAAAAGACTGCAATTCATATGAAGGCTCCCATATCCATGATCTCTCTGACCCTGCATTCAGGACAAGTGAGAGATGAAAACTGCTGATCCACACAGTACAGTTTTATTACACTTAGCTTTATTGCATCTCACAAGTGTTGTGTTTCTTTTACAAATGGAAGGCAAGACCCTCCACCAGCAGAAAGATTACTACTCGCTTTATGGCAACACTTGCTTTATCATGGTGGTCCGGAACTGGAATTGCAATATCTCTGAGGTATGCCTGTAAGTAAATCCAGCATAAATTATGTACCTCCTACAAGTTAATCAGGGATTAATTCAGAAAAGGTAGAGAAGAGGAATAGTAGTAGCTGCTATTCATCAGACATCTACTATGCGTTAGCCAGGCCCTATGTTCAGCCCTCTCTATAAGTTATCCCATATAAGGCCCCAAGTGATTGCTGTGAGATATTTTTATCTCTGTATCACAGATAAGGAAATAGAAGATAAACTAGACTGCATAACATGTTCAAGATCACCAAGGCAGGACAACTGCCTTTAAACTCACATTTATTAAGTTTAAAACCTATGGTCTTTCTATTGCTTCAAACTGCCTCGGCTATTACTGAACACAGAGTTTCCATAATTGCTATGGTTATTTAAGCGATAGGGTTTTGTTTTCAGAAAATAAGACCCTCATTCTCAATTCACCACTTCAGCTAGAAAGGTTTGTAAAGTAGCTCTTGGCTCTGAAAAACAAAATTGACCTATTTAACAGCAACCTATTACAGCTGCTGGAGCCGTTGCTTTTGTAGCGCAGAAGGTCCATAGCAGGTGCCTAAGGTTTACAAATCCTATACAACAAAGTAATAACACATTTTGTCACTCAAAGGGTGAAGAGCTAGGATAGAAAGTGGTTCACTGGGGAGAACAGAGAAAGACACCCTGACTAGCCAAAGGATAGCTATATTTTTAAGTACAGGAAGGAACAAAGAGAAATATTATTTCTTGATTGGTTGCTACTCATGTAAGTTGGTGACCATTTTGAGTGTCATCTTTGTGAGAAGAGAATTGTTGGGGCACAAAAGGAAAACAATAGTTTCTTTGATTTGTAAAAGGCATGTGCCTTAAGCAGAAAGATCAGTAGAAAGTGGGTAACTAATAAGAATACTAGACAAATTAATAATGATAAGTAATATATTTACTGACAGTTTCAGCTCTGTGAAGATGTCCCAGGAGATTTTAACTTCAAGAAATAGTTGTATTCAAGTCCAGAGGACTCTGCTTACTGGGAAATATTGAAGATAGATAAAGTACCAATACTACTAAGGTGAGAGTGTTTTTTTATTTTTGTTCTAATGGTGCGTGGTATTTAAATAAGAAATATTCTGGAAGCTCTGTTTAGCTGTTACAGAAAAGCTTTCATTCTTGTAAAAAGTAGTTTTCCTTACAGATTACCATTCCTAAAAGAGCGTATATGCAAAGCGCCCAGCCCTGCGCTTACCCCCCCCCCCACTTGGCTCCACTTTCTTTCATCAATGGAACGAGCTGTCACTTTCGTTTCAAGATCCAGCCACTGCCTGGGTGTCATTACCTGAATGTAATCACTTTGGAGGAAATGATAGCTTCGAGAGAGTCTAGAGTGCCATTTCTTTCATTAACCAAAATCTTTACATTTAAAGTAGATGTTATAACCCATGGTAAATTCCTATTTTTCTTCATATAAATAAAATATCAGTTCACCAGGTTTTGCCATTTGATACCTCTAATGGTCTAAGTCTAATCTTTTCAATGCAGATATGAAAAAAAAAATGTGCTTTTAACCAACTGGTTGAAATGACAATAAGATGCCCTGAAAAATGATTTATGTTCAGATCATAAGACAGTAATCAATTTACACTGTGAAGCATGAAATCTGATTGCCCTTTTCTTTAACATAAAACACCATGTACTACAATTTATTGACCATAAAACTACTCATCCATAGTCAAAGCATTTTGTTCCATGATTTCTCAGTCATGGAGAAAGAACTGATGTAAGATTGATCAACTCTTTTCCTTCATATAAAGAAAGCCCTGCCTACCTTTTTAGCCTGTGCATAGAAAGGAGGCCTCCATGAATTGGTAATGGGCTCCTGCAGTTCACTTTCATAATTTATTTCATTCACGTGCCTAGGAATTTTTTAGGCCTCCAGAATCATTAATTTGTCTTCTCACATCATCTTTTTTATTCCCTGAGTTACAAAGACTGACATTTTTGTTTATCAGCATTTTAAAGCTATTGCTTTAACAATCCTTCCTTCCAAAGACATTTTCATTAAGAACCAATGATTTCATTTACATTACTTTAAAGATGGTAGATTTCTAAATAATGTCAAATTGACTTCCTAATAATAAATTTACACTCAAATGTCTCAAATTGTGCTTATAAGGATTGATAGACTAAATTACCAAATACTTAGTAAACTCTTCAAAGGGGTTGAAGAAATGTATTTGGATCTTATATAAATAAGTGTTTTGGTAAAAATTTCCAAATTTTTCATAATTTGAATTTGAATAGAAGTATAACTCATTTTCAGTTTCATAGGATATCAATGCTTTCTCTTATTAAAAAACTGGTATGTATAAAAAGAGTTTAGATTTGTTATTTTGAAAATGCTTGAATTTTGAAAATTGATTTCCTCTTCAAAGAAATTATAATGCCACTGTCTTATCTTAAGTGCAACTTTCTGTTTTATCTGAAAGTCCTTTTTGCAATTGCCTCTAAATTTATTTCCATTTGGAAATGAAACATATCCCCTGTGGTCTCTGAGTCACATTCATTGACAGTTGCAAAGAAATGATATCAGTTTCTAGAGCAAAAAGTTGTGGTTATAATCTGAAGAATAAAGGATGTTATGTTTAAGGCCAACTGATTCTTTTAATAGCTTGCCTATATCAAGGACCAGGAGAATATAATAATTTTTAATATAATTATGCATTTCTTTGAGTCTGTTCAATCTAGCAAAAAAAGATGATGAATAATCAGCTCTTACCTCTCCTTTGCAAGGATCTTTCTTTGATTATAAGAAAACCAAACTTAGTGGTTTTCTGCACTCCAGGCAAGTGTTCCTTATAAGAAAAACTTTGCTATAATCACAGTAAAATAGGTTTTAGAGTGTTATCAAGAACAAAAACTTGAAGCTTCTAATATACTGGATGTGTAAAACAGAACCAAGGCAGTTTTAGTCAAATACAAATGTTGGACTTTACCTGTAATTCGAAAGAGTCTGTTTTATACTGTTTCTGGTGTTCTGGTAACTAATATTAAAAATATTAAAAATTATGAGTTTTACAATTTTTCTGAGTTATATTATTTTGTTTTAATTATGTAACTTTTCCAGAACAAGCTATATTAATGACTGTTCCAGTTTCCAGTTACACAAAGTATGGTCCATGAACCACACTGGCCTCACCTGGGAGCTTGTTATAAATGCAGGCTCTCAGACCTGCTGAATCATAATATGCATTTTTAATGAGATCCTGATGCATTGCTTAAGCATATTAATGTTTGAAAAGCACTGAACTAGTTAATACTGATACTTGGGAGGACGAGACTTCATTGCAGAGTTTCCCGGTTTCTGTGCCGAGGCAGGCTGCTGTGCTGCAAATGGGTGACAGGTGCACTCTCGCGAGGGCTCCCTCAGCCCGCAGGGCAGATGGGCAGGGGCTGATACCAACAAGCATTCTTGTCCATTAGCCCCAGTGTGCCATACAGACAGGAAAAATTTCTATTTGTGCTGCTGCAGGGAAAGGTAGCAAAGCGCTGCCCTGATGAGTTAAGAGTTAACGAGGAAATGTTTTGATGGAGAATGTTTTCATGTCTTGAGCACAGACAGATCTAAAGTGAGGAAGTCAGGATAAAATTGGAAATTTGCTTCAATCCTCTGACTCCTTGCATAGTAAGTAGAGTTTAAACAACAGCCAAATGATGTTGGAAGAATAATTCCTGGCTCACAGATATTTTTTCATACCTCTTGATTTAAGATAAACCAGCATAGCCAAAAGCATGCTTAGAATTGTTCAGCAGTAAACCCTTGGCAATGGCAACAGAATGACCACTGAATAATAATAGGATATAGACCAAATTTCAAAAACAAATTGTCAACGTATTTGTCAAAGCGTTTTTCCAGTGCTTTGAAGAGAGTGGCTTAAAAGTTGACGTAAGAACCTAATTCTATAGCAATTGTTATTGCTGTAAACAATGTTGTGCTTTAGTTAATATTTTAATTCTCATTCCTTAATATGAGTCTGCCTTTCCCAATAAATTTTCAAAGAGACAAATTAAATAATCCCACAGTCTGAGCTTCTCTGTTGTAGAACAGCAACAATGGCTTCAAATTGGTTTCTCCTGTTATAGTTTCCCTCCTTCAAGCCTATCATCCACATAAAAAAGGCCTTTTGAAAATACAAATTCTTTTATGTCACTTTTCTGCTTATACTTTTCCAATGGCATTGCAGAGCTTTCTGGGTCATTTAAATTCCTTCATTTGGTACTCACATGCTTTTAAGGCTCCTTAAGTCTCAACTTTCTTTGCTATCCAACACCCACCTGCAATACAGCCATACCTAAGACCTATAGTTCCCCAAATTTGCAATGCTTTGTAATGCCTCTGTGATTTTGCACCTGCTGTTTCTCCTACTGTAATGCTCTTCTCTTTCATTCATTTGGCTAAACCTTTCTCATCCTTGCAGCTTCAGCTCCAGTGTTACCTCCCATAGAGAGGCCCCTTCCCCCTTTCTTCTTCCTTTCTAGGGAGGTGTTCCCATGGAACCCTGTGTATGTCTTTATCATGGAATTTCTCACAGGATATTGTCACTGGCTTCATGGGTATGCCACCCATACAGTGGAAGAGAGACCTTTACACTGAAGGGCCCCTCACTTTGCTCAATATTCTGCTCTCACCATCTTGAAATTCTGAATTTTATCTTTGAACTTGTGTTTTGTAAGTTAAGTCCAATGGGACAATGCAGCACGCACCTGAACGGAGGAGATACGTGCAATGCCTGCCTGCCTGCCATTTCTTGCTGCTTCATTCATATACAATATTCACAATGCCCTGAGAGCACAGAATTCCAGTGGACCTACAATGCATGAGACTTCAGCAAGACCAAAACAAGTACAAGACAAACGTGTTACACCTTCCCCAAGGGGATATGCTTTCTATTTCAACTACAACTTGTTCTGAATGCAGAAACAAAGCAGTGGTGTTCTAAGAAACAAAATGAGCACGAAGCACTACCATGTTTTCTTACTCTGACTACTTCCCTGTATTAGCCAGCCACTTACACTGAAAATGATAACATAGGAGAAAGGGAAAGATAGGTCAGTCCTTCCTTATTCACCAGTAAGCTACAGGTAGAGAGTATTGAAAGAATGAAGGCACATCAAGAAGTAAAATAAAAACAACTGAGTTCATTTTGTGCAGCATTTCCACTTTCCTGGTAAAAACCAAACACTGCAATTACATAATTTCAGTGACTCTGAATATGAGTTAAATGCTTTCGTCTTTGAACTTTAAACTGGTATCTCACAAAATAAAGATGGATGACAAAATCCATGCTAATAATTAGAACTTAATTTTTTTCTTTGCTTAGGATGATATTAAACAACATAAAAAATACTATAGTATGCCAAATCAAGAGAAGAAAGGAAAAAGTGTAAAAATTTTATACCACCAATGACAATTTCATCCCACTTCTTGAACCTTTAAAGGCTCCAGATTTTCATTTTGCAACAGACCCTGTAGTTTCTTTAGCTGACCCTGAATATAAGCTCTGTTTTACTTGTCTGTGTGGTATATTAGGTTAGGAGTTTTTTGAAGGCAGGGACTGTGTTTTCCTTCTTGGTATTCCTCCTGCTTCTTACATACAGCAGGCTTTCAAAAGATGAGTTTCAAATGGCAGTTACAGCTAATTAGAATGTTTTCAGAAAGGAGAGACAAAAGACACAGCTCTCTCTCCATAATGTATCCCTAACAAAGTACATTTTGTCTTGAATGTGCCAAAATGGAATGAGGAGAACAAAATCAGTCCTCCAATAAATTGGTGCTGGTTTTGAACACCCAGTAAGTCTGTTTGAGGCTTTGTGGGAGATTCACATTGTTTCCTGGAATCATTCATGATGTATGGCTACTTACGGAAACACAGGGTAAAAGGCACAGATGCTTAGTGCTCACAGGAGACATACACGCTGAGGCATAACACAGGCTGGGAGATTTGCCTCAGATACCAAAGTGGATGTTTCTCTGGTATATAAAAGCATGATTAACATATGGGGAACTCCAGTGGT